TTCAGCACCGACAGTTTCTGCACTGTTACTTCTAGGAACATGATATTAAAGTAACTTTCCTTTGGCCAGAACTACTACGAATCCTTCGTTCTGTATAAAACATTATTTTGCACCTTTCTCCTGCACTCCATGTGAAATTGCGTTTTGTAACTCTCACCTGAAGCTTCTGTTCTATGCAGGGCTGAAATTGTGACTCTGATTTTCACCGCATTTTTCCAAAACACTGCTACCTTATTTTTCAGTTTTCCTCCCAAACCTTACTTCGGAGCCAATGCTTGTAGGGCAGGTGACATAACCTTGTCCAATTCTAGTGAACTGCCAATTTTAGAAGGCTATTTACTACCTGCAAATGTGCTGGTGGCCGCAGTCCAGAGAGGGAGGAGTTAACAGTTAAACCCAACACTGCAGTAATCCCTGGGTACAGAAATATCGTGTTTTAAGAACCGTACAGCTACAACCGTACCGTCCCCGGGCCGAGCTTACCTTCTTGTGAGGTTACATCTAAGAACATACATTACCCTGCCCTGGACCTGGCTCCCAGGTGTCCCTGGAGAGGGACCAGCCCAGCTATCAATGCCTTCCCTTCCTTGGAGCTTTTGGTGGGGGGAACCAGCTCCCAACCCCCCCGATGGCCACATAACCCTTGCTTACGAGCCGGCTACTGCTGCTACCTCTACCCTGGCTGTGTGTGGACCTGTTGGGTTGCACCCACTTTTCTCCCATCTCTGCCAGCACCCCGAGCGTTTCTCTGCCTTCTCCGCTGGATTTTGGACAGAAGGGCTGCCAGGGGGAGGCTTGGGAAGCGCGCTGCTGTAGCAGATACTGCACAGTGCATCGGACGTGCACGTCTGCGCTGCGGCTGCAGGGGCTGCCGGCTTAGCTCCAGTTGTAGAGGTCTCAGAGTTCAATCCCCAGGAATGGCTTACGAAAGCAAGTACTACCTGAAAGGCCTCTTTGTTTTTCTGCCGCTGCTTTTAATAATAACGATCACATCGGATACTTTCTGCCATCTTGATCGTCTTTGGTACTGCTAATACAGGAACGGCAAAGCCCAGCACTTGCAACAGCAGCTAGTGCAAGGCACTGGAAGTGTTGAGGTTTGAGATCTGACATCCTGCCCTGCCAGAGCACTTTCCCTTTGATGATTTAACCACCGTGTACTGAGGTGCGTGGCAGCTACACAGGGTGTGACATGAGTGGCTTCCCCCAGCCACCAGGCAGTCCTGGCGCACACGGGCAGATGAGGCATGCACGACAGGTACACAGCATTCGAGTGCAACTGCCTGGACCATAATTATTTTGCTTCTTCAAGCAATCCTTTCATTTATACTTTAATGAAGAACTGGGAGTAGAACCCAGAAATCCCATGCTTTACATCCTCTGAGCATTCCTCCCCAGATGAGCATAGTTGTATTCCTGTCGGCTCCTGGCTGACAAGTAAAATCAAAACCTAAATTAAAAACCAGCTAATTCCACAGGCTCAAAGTCAGAGCTGCTGTTTGCACTAAGACAACTCTGAATTTTGCCCTGGCACCTAACCACATATTCACAGCACACTGTATTTTGGCAACGCCATCCGTGACACCAGAAAATACATGGCAGAGCAGAGTTACCCTGTGCAGGAGAAACCCTGTAATCCTAAAGTGCAGACTCATGCAGCAGCACCTCGCCATATCAGAGACACGATAATTGTACAGTAAACACATTGTTTTAAAATTATTTTTAAGGAAAGCTTCATTATGACCCAAGCTTCATGAAAAAGCCCTGCAATGCAAGCGGATCCTAAAGCTACAAGTTCTACATAACCCCTTAACTAGTTACGTTTTCTTTATCCCAAAGGGAATCCGTTCACTAACAGCCCTGTCCTGATTTATAAACGTGTGTATGAGTACAGAATATATGTACATATACTTACGTATCTCAAATGTGCACATTGCACTTGTTCTGCCTACATTTAAATGTGCAAGCCTTAATAGAGATCTTTGTCATGTAATTACTGGTTATATCACAGAAGAGTTCCAGGGGATCGGTTTTGCTTCACGTTCAAGGAAGGAAAGGAGCCTCTAAGTCACCCCACCTACTCCTCCGACACTTTGCTAAGCGCAGAAAAGCTCTGTAGCAGCACCCAGCCTGACTCGGCGCAGGCTGACAGCAGCATGTTCTGCCACAGGTTGCTGGCACCCTCATTTTGCTGAGCCAGAGTATCGTGGCTTAGCTATCAGCAGTGCACAAGGATGGGCTTGATCTTATCCTTGTAACAAAGCCACTTCCCAAGTTACCTCTTAAGCAGATCCACTAGATCAGCTTTAACCCAGTTTCAGACACCTGGGCTGTTGGTGCTGGGCTGTCCCAGGCTTAGCTGAGTTTTGTGGACACACTTCAAATCTGACAAAGTTTTGGAAACCAACTTGTGAGGTTGATTTCCAACAACTGCAGCCACCTGGATGTTTGACAGCGAACCGGTGACATTAGAGCTTGAACCGGTCCCAAACCAGCGTCAGCTGAACTGCTTGTTAAGCCAGTTACAATTTTTTTGGAAAGGAGAAATTTCCCCACTGCAGCTTGGGCTGTGGAGAAACACTTCAAACTGAGAAGTAATGTAGCGGTGGGCTGGACAAAAAGACTGAAAAACCCAGCGCCTGCCAGTCACAGGAAATTAGCTAACGGATTTTATCAGGCTACACCCCAAACAGCACAAGCCGGCAACTTCTGCAACAAAACGATAGAGGCTGAGGCCATCCATGCCTTGTTTTTTTTCAAGGGTGGGAAGTAAAGCACTGCCATTTTAAATGACAGCCTAGGTCTCCAAAGCCTCTGGCATGAATAAAGGACACCTCGGGGCTCCTACCTGCCTTGGATCACCTTGGGGCTCCTACCTGCTAGCCCTGGAGAAGGGCTAGCAGACCCCAGGCCTTACCGTTTAAGCAGTTTTGTGTCATTTCTTTCCTGCAATCCCAGTGGCCACCACCGATTGGTAAGGAAAAGCCAAATGCCAAGAGATTCCTGTGAATAAATTCACAAGTTTTCCATTCTGTGGATGAAGTTGTAAAAATGCACAAAGCATGTGGAACAGGGTGGCAGAAGAAAAAGGAGACAGAAGGAATATGCATTTGTTGTCTCTTAAATGATCAATTTGAGCTAGGTGAGGAACAGAAAAAAAAATAAAAAAAAAAAGCCATCCTACAAACTGAAAAGCAAAAGAAACAAGCAGAAAGACACTGAGATGGGAACTGCAGAAAGACCTGGTGGTCGTTATGCCCAACCATGCAATCAGAGATACGGGACAGGCGATGGTGCAGCTTTATCGGCACCGATTGCTCCCAGTCACTGAAGCCACAAGCAAGTTATGCAGATCCTCCTGAACCAACGCCAAGGAAAACTGTCCAGCCTCCACTGAACACCGGTGTAATTGGGGAAAAAAAGAATGAAACATTTATCTGGCAAGTGCTTTCAAAAAGAGAAGGCGGCTGTTGGGAGCTGCTCAAGGGGCTGGAATGTCAGACATGGTTCCAGCGGGACAGATTAGCTGTCAGAGCGCGTATGAGGCAGGCAGAGATTTTTAATAAAATGCAGTTTATCACATGGTGATTACCACCTCCTATTTGTACCATGAGATCATGATAAACATGGCACTTATTTCTTTACTCCTGGAAACGCAAAACCAACCGAACAGCCATGTGATAAATTGCCCCTTTTCATGTACTTTTACTTTTCTTTCTATGCCTCTATTTCCAAACATCTGTCACTTAGAGAAAGCAAACAAAAGTCTACTAGAAGAATATTTTCTGTCTTTACTCTCCACAAAAAGAAAATGTAGATTAGGATTAGGAATCCAAATTCCAGGGCAATTCCATTTAACACGTAAATCTTAACTGCTCACAAGGAGGCACAGGCACTTGAAATACACCATGTGAGAAAGGGAACTTCAGGGTCTCCAAAAAATGCATCATCTCTTTCTAACCTTGCTGGTTACGCACAACAGGCGCTTAAAGACACAACACGGTCAGATATAAAGAAAAAAGTCTTTTGTGTTAACTTTCATGCCTTACAGTATGCCCTTCCCCGCTTCCCCCAAATGTGGTTTCAAAGTGAAAGGTAAAGAGATGGGAAATACAGCGTGACTTCCATGGTAAGGTTCTGCAACCAAATTCGGGATAATACGGTAAAAGACTTCATTAGCACTCTCTCGGAATGACTTGTATAACTTGCTTGTAGCTTTGCCAGTTATGAGTAATGCACCAATCACCGAGAGATACCAACACCACCTTTGCGCTGCTTTCTTTTCACGTGTTGCCTGATCTCCACGGGACTCATCCTTCTTGTGAGCGATCCCTGTCTTCAGCAGAACGACTCTCCCCGTGTCAGCCCCACGCAGCCCGCGAGGCGCAGCACACGCACGCCTTTCGCCTGCTCCTCACTTCACCTAAATTTTCCCTTTTGGTTGCAGTGTTTGAGATTTACAGTCCTGCTGCTCAGCAATACTCACCTAATCATCTTCACGCTAACCCGGTGGTTAACCACCACCCTTGACAGCACAACAATACATAAAAAACACCACGAAGATAAATTCCTATCAGGCGATACCTGGTGCAGTGTCTGCGTGGAGCCGTGTCTCTGTGATCATTAAAACCAGACCTACACTTTGCTGGATCACCCAGGAGCACAAATTTGATCGGGATCAGGCCAAGGCACATGATCACACTTCTGCTGAACGAGCCAGAGCACACGATACGGAGCCAGCGCCAATTTTGCGCTGGCTTTATGCCAGCTGCAGGGGTGCAGACGATACCTGATCTGGCTGGAGCTGCGTACGGCGATACCTGATCCGGCATAAAGTCTGCTAGTAAAATGTTAACCTGTCAAAAACTTTGCGAGCTGACTGGAGCAGGCAGAGTGAATGAGCACCAGGTCAGCACTTCGCATCGCGCGGCCGGAGTGTCTTTGAGCCAACGCTCGGAGCGCTGCCGCTGGACTGCGTGCGCTGCCAAACCACAGCCTAATGTCGGCGGCGATGCGTGTACGCACCGGGATCGCGCTGCCGGATCACGGCCTAGCCGTCCTTCAGCTCTTGTGGCCTCCAACTTAAAGCAGAAAGGAAAGAAGGCAGCACGAAAACAAAGCAGTTAACCTCCGGGTGGTCAACAAGAGCCTCCTGATGTGCAATCTGTGTGGAGCCGCAGCCGCAGGTGTTCCTGTGGCAGACAGACTCGGATGAGGCGCGTGTTCCTTCAGGTTAGTCAGAGCCTAACGTGTTGAGCTCGAGAAAACGTGTCGGTAGCTAGGCTGACCTGAGCATTGTGGCAATCCAAGCACTACTAAAGATGCGACCTGCTGTGTTGAACAAATACAAACTTTATTTTTATTTTTTTTTTCCTTCACAGCCCTTTGGCACGGAAGTTCTTTGGCACTGCCCCGCTCCTCCTGACACCATCCTGCAGAGCCCTGCCCGGCGTGCAGCAGCACCTGGCACTGGTGTTACAGGTGCCCGGGGCACCGGGGGCTGCCACCACCCGAGCCCACAGCCCCAGGCGCTTCCCCCTGACACCGCTGCGAGCCCCTCAGCCGCAGGAGCCCCCCACGGGGCAGCCATTCCCTCGAGCTGCCCCATTCCCTCGGAGCCCCTCACACCCCCCCGAGCCCCCCACAGCCACACACCCCTGTGAGGGGGGGGGCGCCTCCATTTTGTGCGCCGGGCGGCGCCGCGAGGGTTAAAAGCGGGGCGGGGAGGGGGGGGGGGGAGCAGCGGCCGGGCCGCGCTGTTGCCGGGGCGACGGCTCGGAGTGTTCCGGGCCGTACCATTGCGCAAGGGGCGCGGGGAGCGCCGGCTCCTCCTCCTCCTCCTCCTCCTCCTCCTCCCGCTCCCTCCCTCCCGGCCGGAGCGCGGCGCCGGGGCCCAGCAGCGAGCGGCGCAGCGGAGCAGCAGGCGGCGGCGGGGCCGGGCCCGGAGCGGCGGAGCCGGTACCGGAGCGGCGGGGCGGGGCCGTGGCCGTGCCGCTGCCTCCCTCCTGCCTGCCTCCTGCCCTCCCTCTTCCTCCTCCTCCTCCTCCTCCTCCTCCTCTCCCCGCCTCGCCGCCTCCTCCGCGGGATGCGGGCGGCCCGGGGCCGCGGGCTGTGAGCGGCGGCGGCGGCGGCGCGGAGACAAAGGGAGGCGGCGGGGCTCGGCGGCCGGCGCCGGGGACGGAGCGCGGGGGGCGGCCCGCCGGGAGGCGGCACGATGCGGCACGGCGCGGCGCGGCGGCAGCAGCAGCAGCAGCGCGGCGGCACCACCACCACCAGCAGCACCAGCAGCGGCAGCGGTAGCAGCAGCGGTAGCAGCGCGGCGCGGCGGTAGAGGCGGGCGCAGGGCCGGGCCGCGCCGCGCAGCAGCGTCTCCCGCGGGCCGGGCCGCGCCGCCCGGGCCGGCGATGTGAGGGCGGCGGCGGCGAGGAGGAGGAGGAGGAGGAGGAGGAGGAGGAGGAGGAGGAGAGCGGCGCAGCGGAAGGCGGGCGGGCCCCGAGCGGAAGCGGGCCGGGCCCGGCGGCGGAGCGCGGCGCCGGCGGGGGCGGCCGCGGCCGTGCGGGCGATGGAAACGCACATCTCGTGCCTGTTCCCCGAGCTGCTGGCCATGATCTTCGGCTACCTGGAGGTGCGCGACAAGGGCCGCGCGGCGCAGGTGTGCACGGCCTGGCGGGACGCCGCCTACCACCGCTCGGTGTGGCGGGGCGTGGAGGCCAAGCTGCACCTGCGCCGCGCCAACCCGTCGCTCTTCCCCAGCCTGGCGGCGCGGGGCATCCGGCGGGTGCAGATCCTGTCGCTGCGCCGCAGCCTGAGCTACGTGATCCAGGGCATGGCCGACATCGAGAGCCTGAACCTGAGCGGCTGCTACAACCTCACCGACAACGGGCTGGGCCACGCCTTCGTGGCCGAGATCAGCTCCCTGCGCTCGCTCAACCTCAGCCTGTGCAAGCAGATCACGGACAGCAGCCTGGGCCGCATCGCCCAGTACCTGAAGGGGCTGGAGGTGCTGGAGCTGGGCGGCTGCAGCAACATCACCAACACCGGGCTGCTGCTCATCGCCTGGGGGCTGCAGCGCCTCAAGAGCCTCAACCTGCGCTCCTGCCGGCACCTCTCCGACGTGGGCATCGGGCACCTGGCGGGCATGACGCGCAGCGCGGCCGAGGGCTGCCTGGGCCTGGAGCAGCTCACGCTGCAGGACTGCCAGAAGCTCAGCGACCTCTCGCTCAAGCACCTGGCCCGCGGGCTGGGCCGCCTGCGCCAGCTCAACCTCAGCTTCTGCGGCGGCATCTCGGACGCGGGGCTGCTGCACCTGTCGCACATGAGCAGCCTGCGCAGCCTCAACCTGCGCTCCTGCGACAACATCAGCGACACGGGCATCATGCACCTGGCCATGGGCAGCCTGCGGCTGTCCGGCCTCGACGTCTCCTTCTGCGACAAGGTGGGGGACCAGAGCCTGGCCTACATCGCACAGGGCCTGGACGGCCTGCGCTCCCTCTCCCTCTGCTCCTGCCACATCAGCGACGAGGGCATCAACCGCATGGTGCGGCAGATGCACGGGCTCCGCACCCTCAACATCGGCCAGTGCGTCCGCATCACCGACAAGGGCCTGGAGCTCATCGCCGAACACCTCAGCCAGCTCACGGGCATCGATCTCTACGGCTGCACCCGCATCACCAAGCGGGGCTTGGAGCGCATCACCCAGCTGCCCTGCCTCAAGGTGCTCAACCTGGGACTTTGGGAAATGACTGAGAGCGAGAAGGTCAGGTGAGAGGAGGGGGGTGCCCCGAGACCTCCGTCTCCTCTGGAGGGACTCACGGACAGACAGACTGACTGACTGACTGACTGCTGCAACGGAGGAGAGAAAGAGAGAGAGGGGCACGCACAGAGCCATGCTACCCACGCACCCTGGCACTGGAGGGAGGAACACGGAGAAAGAGTATATATATCCTTGACCCTTCTTCTCTGCTGCCTAACGACCCTTGCTCTGGAGGAGGAGGAAGGGGGGGGGGCAGGAGGAAAGAGAGAGAGCACCTCTCCTTTTCCCAGGTCGTGCCTCCAGCTCCACAGTGGGGAAACGGAGCTCCCCCACACCCACCCCCCAGCATCCTCTCCTACAGAAGAGGTAGAAGCCCACACTTATGCACTGGGGCTAGAGACACCCCTCTTTATCCCCACTCCCTGCTTCCATCCCCTCGTGCACTAAGGATGGATAAAGATCGAGACCCTTGTTCTGCCATGTATTGAGAGTAGCTTATTTTTGGTTTATGTCAAGGAGAGTGGGAATGGAGATGGGAACAAACAACAGCAGAAAAGGCTTCCTAGCTACACTAAAGTACCTGGCCACCCAGTCATCCTGCACTGGGCGCAGACACAGCTTTTGTTTTTTTTTTAAAAAAGAAAAAAAAAAAGCTAAAATCCCCCCCCCCCAAAAAAAAAAAAAAACAAACAACAAACAACCATTCCACCTCTGCGCTTGCCCCTCCCCCATCAACTGGGAATTGTGACAGAAATACTGCTCCCTAGGTACATTGATTTTTTTTTTTTTGGTCTGTTTTCAATCTCCAGTTCCATGTTGTTATTCTCTGCTGTGGGTGGATACAGTTTCCCACTACTCCAGTTCTCCACTGCACTGAGAACAGGGATAGCTACAACCTCTCCTTTTGTCAGTCTGTTTCCATGTCATCCTGCACTATGGTGAAGGGAGAAGCCTAGGCACTCTGTTCTTTCTCCCATCTCTCTATACTGGAGATGAAGATGCCATTTCCTCCTACGCCTGTTTCTGTAGGGACTGGACACAGACCCCGGTCTCTTAGACCTTCCCATCTACTGGGGGACCCTGAGAGTTACCGAGAGACTCGTCTTCCCTTTCATCATTCTCTCTCTCTTTCTCCCCTCCTTCTTCTTGGCAACAGGGATAGACATATCCAGCTACATATCCATTCCTCTTTTTGGATTGGGGGCGAGCGGGTGGAAGGGGTGGCTAGCTGCCCTCGGCCCAGGGGGCTTAAGGAAGAATCTCCAGCTTCATTTCTGCTTCATTTGAGATACTGTGACCTGTTTTTATTTTGAAATGCATAAAAAAAATTACTGCTACAAAAACAGCCTCTTACTCTCCCATCTATCCCTTGCTTATATCCTGTAACTGATCCCACTTTTCCTCATTCATTCTCCTCTTTACAGTATTCGTTTTCTCACATGGTTTTATTTTTAAAGACATTTGAAGTTGCTGTTCTTGTGGATTTTTAAGTACATTTTTTTTCTGCTGAATATATTCTATATATATAAATATATATATGATGTCTGGCTACCTCGTTTTAATTTGTTACTTTTTTTTTTTTTCTCCTCAAAAACCCTGGAATTCTTACAGGAAAGAGATTTTGAGACTGAAACATTTTTGTGCCTAGACTGGAATAACGCCCCTTGGGTTTGTTCTTCTTTTTCTCCCCCCCCCTTTTTTTTTTATTTGTTGTTTGCTTTTAAGCTTACCCTGCTGTGTCCCACCCTCACATTCTGGTTGTGCCTCTCCGTCCCTCTTCACTGGGGACCGGGGACCCAAACTGTGCTTCTGCATTTTTTACTCTTCTAGCACAAACATGCAACATGAGAATCCATGCTGAGGATTGGGCTACTGTTAACAGAAATGTGTAAAAATGCAAGTTGGTTTTAAAAAAAATAATTATATATAGAGATATATGCAAATATTTCCCCCTCCCCTCCCAAATCACCTACAAAAGGTCACTATGTGAGGCTTCCTGTTTGTGAGTGGAGAGAGGAGCAGAGCAGGCCTGCAGGCCCCGAGGCTGTAATGTGAAGGGGAGGAGACTGAAGTTCATCTGTCTTATCTCTGTTCTGTCAATAAAATGGAGCTGGTTCTTTAGATTTTTTTTTTTTATTATTATTATTTTAAAGAGGAAGAGTAAGTTGTTTTTTTTCTTTTTTTTTTGTTTTATTTTTTTTTAAGAACAATATCTTGGCTTTTTTTTTTTTTTCTTGTGTGTTCAAAATCTCAAATCCTCCACAGTAACAGGCCAGACCATGGAGTTAACGCAAACCCAGAGACCCCTATGGATTAATTGTACTGTTTGTGAATTTGTATAAAAATAACAAAGATCCTCTTAAAACATTTTATATTCTTACAGTAAAAGGTTAAACTGATATTTATATAATAAAAGAGGAAATATGAAGTATGTTTTTGAAAAAAAAAAAAAAATGCCGTATCTGTGTTGTCTGTGCTTTTTGAAGAGGTATCGACCTGCCTGGGTTTCGGTAAGCGTGCTGTGCAGCTTGTGCAGAGGGGTTGGGGCTGCTCTCGCTTCAAGGAGTGACCGCTGAGGGAAAGGAAGTGGAGAGTCTGGTCCCTCCTGTGCAGGATGTTGAGTAACATCATAATTAAAAGTTTGTAGGGAAGGGTTTTGGTAGGACCAGCGCTGGCTGCGGGAGCGTTCAGCATCTAGAGAGAAGCCGAGCAGGACTGCTCGGTGTGAGGCAGCTGCTCCATCTGAGGTCAGACAAGCTGCAAGTGCTGAAGTTTGCTGTCAAGCAAATTAAATATTTCGTGGTAGGGGAAACCTGACGTTTGGAAGGGGGAGCAGAAGGACTGGGTTTGTTAATTCTTTAAAGCTCCAGG